TTTTGTATTTTTAGTAGAGACGGGGTTTCACTGTGTTAGCTAGGATGGTCTCGATATCCTGACCTCGTGATCCGCCCGCCTTGGCCTCCCAGAGTGCTGGGATTACAGGTGTGAGCCACTGCACCCGGCTTGTTTTTTGTTTTTTAACAGACAGGCTCAACCTCCAACTCCTGGACTCAAGCAGTTCTCCCACCTCAGCCTCCTGAGTAGCTGAGACGACAGGTGTGTGCCACCATGCCTGGCTCTTTTACCATGCCTGGCTCTTTTTTCTTTTTTTTTTTTTTTTTTGAGAGCTGCGCTCCAGTTCCGTCACCCAGGCTGGAGTGCAGTGGCACGATCTCATCTCACTGCAACTTCCACCTCCCGGGTTCAAGCGATTCTCCTAACTCAGCCTCCAGAGTAGCTGGGATTACAGGCGTACAATGCCCGGCTAATCTTTTGTATTTTTAGTAGAGATGGGGTTTCACCATGTTGCCCAGGCTGGTCTCAAACTTCTGAGCTCACATGATCCCCCTGCCTCAGCCTCCTAAAGTGCTAAGATTACAGGCGTGAGCCACCACACCTGGCCTCATTTTGTATTTTTTGTAGAGATGTGGGTCTTGCTATATGGACCAGGCTGGTCTAGAACTCCTGGCCTTAAGTGCTCCTCCCACCTTGGGCTTCCAAAGTGCTAGGATTACAGGTATAAGCCAGCAAGCCTAGCCTTTTTTTTTCTTTTAATTTTGTTTCGAGACAGGTTCTCGTAACCCAGGCTGGAGTGCAGTGATCATGGCTCACCACAGCCTTGAATTCCTGGGCTCAAGCAATCCTACAGCCTCAGCCTCCTGAGTAGCTGTAACTACAGGTGCACGCCACCACACCTGGCTAATTTACTTTTATTTTTGGTAGAGATAGGGTCTCACTATGTTTCCTAGGCTAGTCTGGAACACCTGGCCTCAAGTGATCCTCCCGCCTCGGCCTCTGAAAGTACTGGGATTATAGGCAGGAACCACTGTGCCCGGCCCAAGAGGTGAGTTTTCAAAAGCTGAGAAGGCGGAGCCAGGCCCTTTCCTAAGCTGACCTGTACACTCCAGTCACTCCACAGTCCTGCCCAGCCCCTCTCAAGCCAGACCCCTTGTCACCCCACAGCCCTGCTGGCCCCTCTCAAGCTGGACCCCTCATCTCACAAGCAGGCTGCACTGCACTCATTTCCACGGTGCCCCCACGTGTACAGCTGCGGGGGTATCCTGTGAGCACTATGGACCCTGAACCACTTACTCTCCATATCACTGGCATATAGTGTGAACTCCTAGAGGGCTAGAGCCTTGTCTTCTCATGTGCTGGGCACCAGTATTGTGGGGCTGGGCTGGTGATAGCTGCTTAATGTGATTTACGGTTTTTTGTTTTGTTTTGTTTTTGTGAGATGGAGTTTTGCTCTTGTTACCCAGGCTGGAGTGCAATGGTGCAATCTCAGCTCACCACAACCTCTGTCTCCTGGGTTCAAGCGATTCTCCTGCCTCAGTTTTCTGAGTAGCTGGGATTACAGGCATGCGCCAACATGCCCGGCTAATTTTGCATTTTTAGTAGAAACAGGGTTTCTCCATGTTGGTCAGGCTGATCTTAAACTCCTGAACGCAGGTGATCCGCCCACCTCGGCCTCCCAAAGTGCTGGGATTACAGGCGTGAGCCACTGCACTTGGCCTTCAAAGTGATTTACTGAATGAGTAACTGAATCACCAGCTCTTTGCCTTTTGCTTATGTTGCCATTTTGGGAGAGGGGTTACCTGAAACAGGACCCCCTCCCCTGTCTCTTCTCAGCGTCCAAGACTTATTTACCTAAGCCCATTCCATCCTCTGAGCTGCATGCATCCCAACTAGGGTCTTCCTTCCACGTCGCAGAACCAAGCACAGCCCTGGGACTTTGCGGTGCTTAGCTGGGCTGAGCTGTGACTGAGTGCACAGTGGGTGCTCCCTAAAAGTCTGTAAGTGACTAAAATGACCTCAGTCTTCCCCGTGACTTCCAGGGGAGGGAGGAAAAGCAAGGGTCATGTGCTCAGGCCCCAGTGGATCCACTGCCAGGTTTCTGCACAGACCCAGTGATCTGTAGGTGTCCATGTCACTGCTATGGAGGCTTCGGACATGGACCTGGGTCCCCAGCACTCTGCCAGCTGACCATGCCCCCAGTCCGAGCTAGGTATCCCAAGCACACACAGCCTTCAATAGCTCAAAAGTAACTTTCCAAATGGGGTTTAGAAAATAACACGAGAATGCCTTAAGGAATAGAGGAACTTCTTAACTTTTTTTTTTTTGAGATGGAGTCTTAGTTTGTCACCCAGGCTGGAGTGTGGTGGTGCGATCTCAGCTCACTGCAACCTCCCCGTCCTGGGTTCAAGTGATTCTCCTGCCTCAGCCTCCCAAGTAGCTGGGACTACAGGAGCCTGCCACCACGCCCGGCTAATTTTTGTATTTTTAGTGGAGATGCGGTTTCACTATGTTGGCCAGGATGGTCTCAAAC